GTGGCACGTGTTATCATTCAACAATGTTATAGTTCAATTATAGATTTCATTAATAAATTAGTGCACTTTGCTAATTATTATGAACAAAAAAATTGGAGAAAGGCTGCATTAATTGAACAGTTATATGAAATTAATTAGCCAAAAATTAATGAAGTTTTAAAAGAATTAAAATTAAAATGACAAACCGTTTATGCACATTAAGTTTGCAAACAGAGCATTGTAATCCTTGATTGATTAGGCCGTAAAGCATCGAGCCACAATGATCGCAAAATGTCGGCCGCTTATAGCTGTGAACAGTGAAACGATGCGGCATGTTAATATTGAATCGGCCAAGGCCTTGCTAAAAGGGAATATTAATTGTTGCAAAATTTTTTATCCAAAAATAACATCCATGTAAATTATTTAAAAATTTGACAAATGATTTATCAAAAATGCACAATTGAATTGAAAATATTAATCAAAATAGGAAAAAATGAATTAATTTTGTTCTTGAAAAGCTTAAAAAATATGCAAACATCCCGAAAACTAAAATGAATTAGTGAATTTGAAATTTTTTGCATTTTAAAGTTTATGACTTTAAAAATATTCGATTTGTCAAAAATGTTAGCTGATATTAACTTAAATTTGTTTACTTTTGTTAAATTTGTTTAACTTGTTTATTTTACAAGAAGTAAAATGAAATAAAAATCATTTCAAACAAAAGAATATCGGAAGTCTTCGTTAATTTACTTCAAAAATATTCCGTTTTTTTCTTTCCAATAATCATTTTTTTTTCATACAAAAGAAATTTTAAAAAATTGAGAAGAACTGGCGGGTTGAAAAACTATGATCTAATAAAAATTCTCTCAAATTTTCATATTTCATTAAGGCAAGAAGTAAATAATTTGAATTAAAAAAAAGCCAAATCAAATAAATTGAAAAACTTACTTATCTCAAAGAGTATATTGAAGAAGTATGAATCAGAGAAAAAATGTTTTATTTCTGTCAAAACAATTGCATCCTCTATCGGTTAAATAGAAATTTAAATGTTAAATTGAGTTTAAAATTGATCAATTTTGGTTTTAAATTCAACTAAACAACAATAATAATTGATCGTTAGCGTTTTTGAGATTTTTGAGAACGAAAAGTTGTATTCGATATCTTTTTATTACAAAGTGAATTTTGGACGTTTTCGATCAACATTTAAAGTTTTTTTTTTTTTTTTTTTAAATTTCAACAAAAGAAATGGTGAATCGAAAAATTTACCTTAGCTGCTTCAGTTTGCAATTCATCAATAGCATTGGTCCGAGTTCCGGGACATTTCCATAGTACTTTTTCATGACATCGTTTGTGTACAACCACTGTGCATGCTTTAAAATAAATTTTAATCATTTGAAAAATACTTAACAAACATCAGTTGCATTCTTTCCTGATTGAAATTTTTTTTCAAAATTTCTTCAAAACGCACAGTTGCCTGCGTAAACTCCGTGAAAATTTCAAAAAGGTTAAATTAGTTTTAAAATGAATTCACATTTTAATAATCTAATTTTATAGCTATAAAAAAGAGTGAAGTGCTCTTTTTTTTTTTGTAAAAAAAAATGAGCACATTTCTTCCTTCTTATAATTATATTTTCTTAACAAATACATTTTTGGTACAATCATAACAAGTTTAAAATTAGCATTTAAGAAATTCTAAGATGAAATTCAAATTGCGCTGCTTAACAAACAGCTAACATTATTACTGAATTTTGCCATGCCCAATTTTTCATTTAATCAGAATATATGTTGAATTTTTGAGTTATAATGATAATTTTTAGATTATGATGATTGCATGAACTAAGATATTTAGCATTTAGCATTTAAGAAATTCTCAAAATTAAAAAAAAAAGTAAGCAATGAATGAAATGAAAAATTATCAAAACGAAAAAATCTTTTCATCTTTCATTGCTATGCCTACAAATTTTATAAATTACAATTGAAAAATTCTCATTATGAGGATAAAAATTTTATTAAAATAAAGAAAGGATTGAATTTATTACAGTTTTGCTTCTTCATAATACTATCTGATTTAAATTTTTAACTTAGAGATATAATAATTTTAACTTACTTTGGCACTGATAGCCTTGTTTGCCAAGTCCCCAAATAAAATCTTTACAGTGGGCACAAAAAGTTGGCTGTCGTAAAAACAAGGCCATAAATTTGTGCCCCGTAACCTAAATTACCATACCTTCAGAGGCACTCAACTTTTATTTTTCAAATTTATTAAATTTGATATTGAAGAGGAAAAAAAATAGTAGTGAACAAAAGTTAGCAAACAAAGGAAGAAATGATGGAATTGTGCTTAATTGAATAAATTACTGCTTGCAAAAGAGCAATCATCAAAAAAAAAACCTCATGAATTTTTCGACGCATTGCGCCTCGGCGCTGTCGACTGCTAAATGCATCGGTACGTTCTCGAAACACTCGCTCTTTCTTACTGGCGCTATTTTGAGTTGCCTCTTAAAAGACCGTAAATTTTTGTAATGCACTCCCAATAATAAATTTCACAAAAAATTTTGCTATATTTTGCTTTTTTTTAAAAAAAAAAATAGTTTTCATTTTGTAAAAACAATAATTGGATATTTCAAAATTTTGAAATTAATAATTTTTGAAAATTTAAAAAATTTCAAAAATTTATTTTGAAAATTTAAAAAATTTCAAAAGTTTATGCATAGTGTATGCTAACCTTCACTTAATGAACCTTGCAGCTCAATGAGCAAATGAAGTTTTCCGTGTGGCTCGAGATCAATCTAGAAAGATGATGCCCCATGATTTGGTATAAATAATCTAATTTAAATTTCTTTTAAAATATTTCTTTCGATGTAATTCAAAGACAAATTCATACCCAGACATCATTCTTTGTTCCAATTTTTAAATCTTCAAGTTGTATGCGACAATTCGCCACAAAATCATCAGGAGGTAAAGCGCAATCATGAAACACGGTGAATTCAAGCTCATGACCATGGTGAACCTCAGTCTATGAGAAAATAAGATAATCTTCTATCGTATCATAATAATTAATTAAATTTTTAATTATTTAAAATTTCAAATTACTTGGTATAATTTAAACGGAACCTCGTAATTTTCATTCCAAACAGGCATGGAAGTCTTCGGACGGGTCAACGTTTTTCCGATATAATTCTCATCACAATTAATATTTACATAAGCATCCAATAATGCTGTCTCTTTTGAACTGGTTGCAAATCTACAGGAAGACTTGTTTAATTGAAATAAAACTTTATCAAGTAAAATAACTCTTTAATGTTACCGCTATCAATTATTACATCTATTTCAAGGAGAAGAATTAAGACAATAAAAGTGAAAAAAGCATACTAATTTGATAGGCTTATATTACAATCTGATAACATAACTATAAAACAGAGCATTCACTTATTGTACCTACCTTTTTGACCACTCGGTAGGTCGAAGGTCACGAGCTTCCACAACTTTAATAAGAGCAATTCCGTTGAAAATTGTCATAACAAAATTTAATTACTTCACCATATCATTCAATACTGAAGAAAGAAAAGGTTTGAAAGAAAATTAAGGATTTCAATTGTACAGAACAATTACAACGACTCTTTCATTTCTTGACGAATATTCAANNNAAAAAAAAAAAAAAAAAACCAACAATATCAGTAAATTTTCTTTCAAATTCATTCTTTAGTAATTTTTCAATCTAACTTTCATTAATTTCATCAACAAATGAAATGTTTGAAAATAAATAATCGATTAATGATAACAAAAAAATTCGTATCATTTATCCTTCAGTAATTCATTCTTTAACAGTATCGTCTATTCCAATTCATCCCTTATTGATATCTAATCAAAATTATCAATCAATCAATTGATTGTTCATTTTAGAACATTATCAGGCAAGACATTAAGTAGATAATGTGATCATCCAATATAATATTTAAAAATAAACGGTATAAATGAGCAAATAAATCCTTATTGGAGATATTGAATGAAATCGGATAAAAGGAAATAAAAAAGTTAAGGAATTGAAATTTTTTTTTTTTTTTTTTTTTGCAAATAAGTTAAATTGTTGTTGACTGTTAGGGGACAGAAATTTGAGTTATTCAACTGGAAGGATCGAGAAGGGAAAGTTGGTATTTTCATCACTTTTTTTTTTTTGTTCTGGATGAATCCATTGGGAAACAGACAAGCATTTGTGTATGCTTCAATTTTCATTTATATCTTCCTCCTTGCTGCCTTTTTCATTGAATATATAAATCTCTTTCTCTCTCTCTCCCTTTCTCCCTCTCTCTCTATCTCTCTCTGTCTCTCTCTGTCTCTCTCTGTCTCTCTCTGTCTCTCTCTGTCTCTCTCTGTCTCTCTCTCTCTATCTCTCTCTCTACGCTTCTTTCCACTTTTATAGAATCTTCGACTCTTTCATTTTTACATTAATAATTCTAAAAATTTTAAACTAAAAAAAAAAAAAAAAAACGAATGAAATGGATCAGTTTAAAGTTTTCAATATGAGAATTTAATTACAATATATGGTATAATAATGAAAATGAAGGAAAAAAAAAATGGAAACGATCATTTTTGTTGAAAAGCTAACAATTCGTTTCTGTTGCTATTTCCAGTAATGATAAGCGATGGTTTAAATGTTTTCAGATTACAGTAATGATAAGAGATTTTTTTTTTTTTTTTATGATTACCTGAAAAAGAAGACTTTAGGAGATTTGAGAATATTCGGGAAACAAAATGATCGAACAACAATTTCAGTTCCTTCAGATCAGTCCTATCGTTATATCCATCCTACAAGGCGTAAACTTTTCGTAGCCAATAGCTACACGCATACACACACACACACACACACACACACACACACAC